AGATATGTCATTTTTCCACATATACATAAAGCACACAACATTAAAAACATTAAGCTCAAAAATATTGAGAACTTTCATTTCAATAAAAAATGGTTTGGAATGAGTGTATCGATCCGCAAAATTTATTAAACTGATCGCATGTTTCTGGCGGCGATAAAGGCATTTCAACTTACTTTTTTCAGTGCTTCCCCATGCAACATTAACATAAATTGAATCAACATGAATTAAAGTTGAGTTAGACTTTTTTTACATAAATATGTTCTGGTTTTATATAAGGTTCTAAAACTTTTAGAAATTTTTGTACCAGTATAGTCGATATGCGTTTTCCATGCGGTGTTTTCATCAAGAAAAATACCTAAGAACTTTGTTATATTATGTCTTTTTATTTCAATATCATAAATAAAAATTTTAGGCAAACGTCGAGGTAAATAGGCTTTTTTCTGAGACTGGGTGGAAAAGAACCCAATTTTTTTTTAAAGATAAGAGTTAGTTTGTTGTATTTAAACCATTTGGATATACTTTTAAGTTCATCATTCATAGTATAGAAGAGTTTGTAAATGTCATTATCGGAAAAGAATAAGTTAGTGTCATCAGCAAACATGATACTCATTAAATTCGAGGCTTTATTTAGGTTGTTTATATAAATCAAGAACATTAGTGGTCCCAAAATGGAACCTTGTGAAACACCACATGAAATATTTAGAAACTTATTTGGAATATCATTATTGCTAAAAACAAATTGTTTACGGTTGGATAGATAACTTTTGAACCATTTCATAACTTTGGAATTTATTCTATAATATTTTAGCTTGTTTAGTAAAATTTTATGATCGACAGTATCGAATGCTTTTGAAAAGTCGATAAAAACACCTAATGCATATTTAGACTTTTCAAAAGAATTAAAGGTTTCACGCACAAATTGTGTAACTGCATGTTCTGTGGAATTATTTCTTTAAAAAACCGAATTGATAGTTATATAAAAAATTATTATAATGAAGATAATTATATAATCTATTGTACATAATACGTTCTAGTATTTTTGAAATGTGGGGAGAATTACTCTCTATTTTTGAAAATGTGGAGATAGCTACTGATATTTGTTTGATCACCTTCTTTTAAAATTGGAGTAACTTTAACAAATTTTAGTTGTTCAGGAAAAACTCCTTAGCGTATAGATGTTCCATATACTTTAAATAGGATATCTTTTAAGTATTAAAAACATTCTATGACTATATTATCTTTTTTTTTTTTGTTTTGTTACGAGTTTATATATATTCGTCAATGTTAATATAAATTTGTACAACATTTTACCGTGAAATATATGGCTGGAGCAAGTAGAAGACAATAGTCTTATCATCCCTTTATGTCATCTGCTCCGGTTGGTTTGTTTTTTTAAAGAGTTTTAAAAGCTTTTTCAAATTCTTGGAAAGATAATTCAGAAGATAATTTGTTAGAACCGTTGCAATTATCCACCTGAACTAAAAAATCTCTAAATGTAGCATTTGTATAAGGAATTTTGTTTGCTTGCTTAGGACCAATTTCAACAAAAAGTTTATTAAATTCATGAGCTATAGCTCTTGATTCACATATATGTTTGTTATCAACTATATTCGTTTGGGGGAGGGAACCTGATTATCTTTTTTGTCTACCACTAATTTCATTCATTATTTGCCAAGTGCGTTTTAAATTTATCTATGAGTCTTGAGTAGTAATTTTTCAAGTTTTTACAAACTTTTTTAAATAGGTACTTGTATTCTCTATATATTTTTTCATTTGCAGATGATTTTGTTTTAAGATATTTTAATCGCTTTTTTATAACTTTCACCCGACACTACACGCTCACAACTGCAACTTGTTACCGCTATAATTGTCAATAATTTTACAAAACAAAGTTAATTAGGAAACAACGACAGCACTTCTTAACAAAACTCGCAATGGCTTAACAAAACTATAGCCAATTCATTTGTTAGAAGTTTGATCGTCATCAGAAACATCACATTTGTCATCATTTACACAATCCTCGTTATTACTTAGCTTTCCAGATTCGATTGTACATAGTGTTTCAGGTTGCTGTTGCCGTAATTTTTCCTTTTTGTTGGAGTATATATCTTCTATACTAACAAAGTCAACCATTGACTGAAAAACTGGCAAAATATCATTACTTTCATTTGCAAAGTCTTTTGCATTCAAATCATAAATGTTACAAATGTTTTGTATTTAAGACGGACTAATTATTTCAGATGATAACAAACTTTTAGTTGTGAACTAATTTCTTCTAAAAAAGAAGTATCGCTATCACTGAATCTTTCTTTTATCTCTTGCAAAATGACATCCAATCCACGAATTACAACTCCCACTTTAAATGCTTGTTCAGAATCATTGATACGTTTATTTATCAAAACGAACTAAAACATTACACATAATCTCCTGATATTGGTTCTTGTGTTGCGTTTTTTCTCTCGGCATTTTTCAAAACTTTTTTGAAAACTCTCGGCATTTTCAAAACTTATAACCCAAAATTTATAATTTGTTTATTTTTTAGATTCGATAGTAAATGTATACTGTATTATAAGATATTATATTATAAGAAAATGTACATTCAATACAATAAGTAATAGTAAATACTGTCAATTATATCTATTTTATCCCCCCGGAAAGTATATTTTCGAATAAACATTCGGTTGGATAAAATATTTCTTCTCTCCCGTGATAAATGTTCCCCCGATAAAAAATATACTAAAATTTTTGTTTTTAAAAAAAATTTACGAGAACTAGAAGAAGAAGAAATCAAAAAACCCTTTTTTGAGAAAACATTTTTATTTATTGTAACGCTATTTTTTTTTTTTTTTATGTTGATTTTAGGTGCCCCAAGAAGTCCTTACGGTCTTATCACAGAGCACCGCGGAAGAGCATTTAATAGGAAGTTCATGCCTCCTTCCCAATCGATGTCACAAAACTTGCCCAGAGGTGGGGTTTGAACCACGGATCTTACGTTTCTGAGGCAAGTGTGCTACCACTGCACCACGGCTGCTATGTTGTTAACAACATTTTAAGAATTAAATAACAAGCATAAACGGTAATTACGACCTATACCGGTTGGTCGGCAACTTATTTTAAGAAAAGAGTCATTTTTTCTAAAATAATTTTGATAATCTTCTAAAGAGTCAAAAGGATAATAGTTTAATGTGTTTTAATGATATTTCTGGATTATACCATATAATTAGGACAGTCTGGAGAGGTACACAGTTTAGATAAAAGAGCAACGTGCGGCTCGCGAGCCGAACCCTGATCTATACCAAGAAACGTTGATATGCATGACAAATCATGATGCAGAGTTTTGTATTTTAAATAAATTAATAAAAAGCAGAACAAAATAAATGAAAAACTTAATTTAGAACAGACCAGTGCATTTCACTTGAAAATGATAAATAACATGTTCTAAATGCTTAAAACTTGCTTCCCTTTCTTTTTTTTCTTTAACCAGAACGTCGCTTTCTTCTTTTTTACATATTCTTTTTTTAAATAGTTAAACAAAATAAAAACAATTTATATTTGCAAGTTAGTACTTCTACATAACAAGTTGGATAATAAACATTCGCAAATGTTCTTTTCGTTATTGAAAGCAAATAACTATAATAGATATAAAATGCAAGTTATTTCATAAGAATGCTTTGCAATTTTACCAAATCATTTTACTAAGCTTAACAAAAGATTCGAATATCTAGCTCATAAAACGTCCATAAAAACATTTAAAGCGTTCTAAACTTGCACGTAGTTATTTTGTTAACAAATAAAAGTACTGTTTTAGCAATTTGTTCTCAACTATTTAAAGAAACCAAGTAAAGAACATCGACATTCTATTTTTTCATGATTTATTTTTGTCATTTACTGACATTTGATTTTTTTATGATTGATGCGTTTGATTCAAGGGAACTTTTATATATATATATATATATATATATATATATATATATATATATATATATATATATATATATATATATATATATATATATATATATATATATATATATATATATATATATATATATATATACATATATATATATATATATATATATATATATATATATATATATATATATATATATAAAAGTTCACTTGTATATATATATATATATATATATATATATATATATATATATATATATCATAATATATATATATATATATATATATATATATATATATATATATATATATATATATATATATATATATATATATATATATATATATATATATATATATATATATATATATATATATATATATATATATATATATATATATATATATATATATATATATATATATATATATATATATATATATATATATATATATATATATATATATATATATATATATATATATATATATATATATATATATATATATAATCCTCCCTGAGGATATAGACGCCCCTGATTATAGGATAGAATAAAATTTATAAGTTTTAAAAAAAAAGCAGTTATTTCACATTTTTTATACCAAGTTTTTTAGTTGTTACACATCATTTTTTACACAATTTTTTAGTTAATTAGACTACCTGCCCAAGCTCAAAACTCAGTCGATGTATTGATACTCTACTGCGCTTAGCCCTATTTAAGTCAGTTGATGATAGAGATGTACCGGAGGTGTATCGGTTGTATTGTTAAGCAATTTTAAATTTGAGAAATGTTCACATATTTACCTTACAAAAGTTTGGTTTTGCTTCAAAGTTTTCTACATCACACACCAATAAAAAGTTTGCTACGAACCTGTTTTGCTTAAAGCCCATTGGTTACATTCATTAACTATTATGTCTTAAAATTTAAATTTAGAGCATTTTGCTCATAAAAATGACTTTCCAAGCGTAGTTTAGAAGTGTTTCATATCATAACATGCATGTCTATTAAAAAAATTTGGCTAATAAATTAGATTAAAAAAAAATTAATAACAAAACGCTGCAATTTATACAACAACAATTATTTTAGTTATCAAAAATTATATTGGAAAAACTTATCAGGATCAAACATGAAAAACGTTTAATAAAAGATTCCCTCAATGCGTGGATTGATGAAATTCATCCACTTATATCAGGTATTTTACTTTGTTATTTGTTTTCATTATTTTACTTGATGACTTAAGTTTTTCTATTTATATATACAGAGGAGATTTTACGGAGGGAGGGGGGGGGGGTGTGTGTTACACTCTTACCCCCTAAAGAATGTGATTTTCAATATGTAGTCGATTTAATTTCAAATTTAGTTGACTAGTCGGGTATTTGACACAATTCAGTCGGGTAAATTTTATTTTTGTGGACTTTATATACTACCGTAGCTCAAGATTCAGTTAAGAATTTTCCCTTCTTTTGTGCTTCAGAAGAATAAATGATAGCGTTGAAAAAAGTATTAACCTAAAATATAGATTTAGGTTTCTGCATTATTGAAGACCTTGCTTTCATCCTCTATAGTCTCAACCACATTATCTTCATTAACAATATCCGAGCTACTGTCAAAATCATTAGTACTAGATAGTGATAACTTGTCCTCCGTCTCCTCAAGACATTCATATTCGTACGCAAGGCTGAGCTTTTCAGCAGGTGTTAGCTGTTCGGCTGCCTCTTTATATGTTGCTTTAGTGCGTGAAACTGTTTTTTCTTGACTATTAACATTTTCTGCAGTTTCTTCTGTCTGTTAAACAACCTCCTAAATTGCTTTTACGGCTCTCTCTGCTACATCATTAACAACTGCCAAGCTTTTAACAAATAGTTGAAAAGCAATGAAATCTGGATCTATGTTTCATGTAGACGAAGGATAAAAAAGCCACTTAACATATCTTTCAGTGTGTTAAAGTATATCAAACACTATATCAAACACTAACCATTACTCAGCTCCTATATAATAAACGAGTGAAGGTGGTCCTTGAAAATATTTATATTAAATAAAAAATTAACAATTCAAGTAAATATTTTGAAGTTTATTCAATTTAAATTGGAGGAGTGAATTTCAATGGAGATTATTAATAACTTTTTGAATAAAAAGAAGTTTGTACCTCTTACAGTCTTTAAAATGTCAGGGCGAGATTGCACACATCTTGCTTTACTGTTATCTTAGTTTTTCTTGAGCTTCAGATACCTGTTAATATATTTTGTTATATTTCTTTGCAGGGTGACAGGTCCAGTCATAGGGAAACCAGATCTTAGCCATGGAAACCAAAGTGCTCCTAGTACACATTCCTTTTTGCAAGCAGTATATAAAGAAATACACTGGAAACTGAATAAAAAAATTTGAAGTATTTGTGACAAAAAACTCACTTATCAGACATTTTTTTTCAACAAATATAATTTATGTGAAACTATATATAACATATTTTTTCCTCAATGCTATTGAAGTGTTATTTACTTATAAATAGATATGTTTTTTTGTAGGTTTTTTGTTCATTTTAAACCAATTAAAGTATAAATTATAAATTGAACCTGAACTTGTTGCTCAGCATATAAGACGTTTATTTTGATAACTTGGCCCATTCTTTTTTTTAAGATAAAGAAATTGCTTAACCACTTCAGCTCTAGTCGGTAGTTTCATGGAACACATCTTAGCTGGTTTACCCACCAAAAAGTGCTCCTTAGTGTGAGCACTTACTCTTCTTCTCTTAATAGAATTCTTTTGCATTTTATAATTTCGGAATCTAAAAATACCTGTCCTAGGTCCTCATAGTTCAAAAATTGCATTAAATACATTCAAAAAAATATTAGTTTAACATTGTTATTAAAAATAACTAAACATAAACAACTTTACGAATGTACTTTTAATAAAAAACCAGCATTAAACTAACTTTAAACCAAAAGCAATGAAAACTTTAGATGCTGATTTTTGATAAATAAAAAAAAGTAAATCGGTTTTTTGAACCAAAAAACATGTGGCTTTTTGCATGTTTTTCTCTTGTCCTAATAATAGTGATACTTTGCGGTTTTATTATTTGTATACTTTAAAATTTGTGGTTTATATTATACTTTATATAGATTGTAAACGATTCTTATTTTTTATTACTTTATCTAAATGTAATTTTATTATTCATAATTTACTTTTCAATTTCATTCTATATCATAATATTTTTACGATAAAATTAAATAAAAATTATTATGCGGTTTTATAACCATATAGTAACAAAGTGATTTGCTAAACTTTTTTTTTTTTTGCTATTACCTCCACCCCCTTCCCCGTCCATACTCTTACGGTTTCCCAAATCAAGTTGTAGCAAGGTGATCCCATAAACCTAGGGTGCCAATTTTTTTCAAGCATGCTCTAGACATAGTAAGCTAACAAATAAGTTGTATACATGTTTGTATCTTAGATCTCGATCATGTTTGTATCTTAGATCTCGATCATGTTTGTATCTTAGATTTCAATCATGTTTGTATCTTAGATCTCGATCATGTTTGTATCTTAGATCTCGATCATGTTTGTATCTAAGATCTCAATCATGTTTGTATCTTAGATCTCGAGAAAATTTCAATATTGTAAAAAAGTATATCAAGTGTATCAAAGCGATTTTTATTTTTTTTTGAAAAATCAAAATATTATCATAAAATCACTCACGATTACACATCTTTTTAGCTTGCATACATGTTCCGAAAATTTGAACACCCGAATATATACAGAGACGATTCTACGAATAAAATGAGGGGAGGGGGGCGAATCCTCAAAAAGAAACGACTAGCTTCTAGAGAGAAAAAAAAAAAGAGGTCCTCAAAACGAAAATTTAGCCGACTAGCCGACTAAGTTCGTAAAAAATCGACTATAACTTGAAAATCACCTTCTTTGGGGTTTTTTTTTTGTAACAAAGTCAAGTAGTACGAGAAACGAACAACATTTATAAAGGTAAAATAAAAAAATAAAAAAAAGTTAAATTTGCGACATTTTTTGTACTATTTGACTTATTCGTTAAAAACAACGGTACTTTACAAGCACGAGTATAGAAAATGTATCTTTTCGAAACTTTATGTATCGTTGTATCGTTTTTAAATGATAGGTGAGTTTGGGCACAGTGGATAGGATTTCTTTATATTTTCAATAAGGCAAAAGTTAAAATATGTATTTTATTTTTTTCAAGGCGAAAGGATTGAGGTATATGTTCTTCATGATAATAAATCACTAAAGTCCAAATATTTATTATCTAACGGCTCACAGAAACGTTTAGAGTGAATCATGTTACATTATTCACTGTGCCCCAGTACTGGGGCACAGTGAACCAATAAACACAGCTGTGAATTAATTATAGTGATTAGGGACATAGCCAAATAAATATGAGGCTAAAGACACTGTAAAATAAATTTTTGGCATATTTTTATCAATTAGATTAGTATAAAATCGAAAAAATAGACAATTTGAAAATTGAGAAGAAGAAAAAGTATTTTATTGATAACAAAACTTATAAAAGTATTAAAAAATTCAAAAATTATTCAAATATTATTATTCATAACTTAAAACTAATAAATTCATTTTCATATAGTTTGTTTGTTAAAAATGTATGATTTTATCTTTAAGATCATTAATTGGACATAGTGAATCAACCTATTCACTGTACCCTGATTCGTTGTGCCCTCCATAACAAAGTCTAATTTATTGGAGCTTTAATTTAGTTAGCTAAAAACAAAAATTACCTACCAAAAACCGAAGTTAGAACAAATATTTTGTGGTAACAACTATAAATAAGACGGCTGGTATATGAGCACATAACATTGCTAAGATGAAAAAAATTGTAATCTTTGAGAAAATGTCTCTTATTCACTGTGCCCCTTAATCCACTGTACCCCAACTTTCACTACTTGCGTATTATATAAATAAACTTTAGTGAACGAAGTCGCTAGTGAAAAATATTCATAAGCAACTCGATTTTGGTACTCTTTAACTCATTCTATAAGAAAAAACAGTTTATAAATGGAAGTACCAAAAATGTATTGAAAATGTATTGCATATTATGGCAATGTTATGTTTGTGAAACATATTATGTTTTGCAACAAACTTATTATGTTATGTAAACATACAACGTTTGCGCCAAGTAAATATATGACGTCTACACGATGCCTATTATACAAATTTCCCAGCAAACATTCCAGGGGCGGATCCAGCATTTTTTGGTGTTTGAGATAGCTAACTTCCAGACATGGAGCAAACTCCAAACATTTATATGTTTATACTTATATCAAATAAGGATGGTTTGCAAAAAATTGCGATGATTGGAGCCTGGGAACAAAAAAGCTCCAAAATTTGAGACGTACCTGCCCCAAACGTGAGAGCAACAAGTTGATAAAATATTTTTTGTACTATTCTCAACAAGACTTACATTTATCCATAAATTTTAAATTTCATTGTAAAATATTTCAGTGTTCAAAAATTATGACCATGTAAAGTTTGAATCCCCCTCAATTCGAGGGGGTTACAATTTTTATATGGTCATAATTTTTGAGCGCTAACATATTTTACAATGGAATTTAAAATTTGTTGATAAATATAAGTCTTGTTGAGAATAGTACAAAAAATATTTTATCAACTTGTTGCTCTCACGTTTGGGGCAGGTACGTCTCAAATTTTGGGGATTTTTTGTTCCCAGGCTCCAATCATCGCAAATTTTTGCAAACCATCCTTATTTGATATAAGTACAAACATATAAATGTTTGGAGTTTGCTCCATGTCTGGAAGTTAGCTATCTCAAACACCAAAAAATGCTGGATCCGCCCCTGCATTCGGTCTAAAAAAGACGTCTTTTAAGCGTATAAAAAACCTCTAATACGTTTAAAAAAAGTATTTAAAACGTTTCTATTAGACCAAATGTTTGCTGAACTACATCTAAAAGACGTAGAGATAAGACTAAAAGATATAAGACGTATTAGAAGATATAAGAAGTATTTTACGTCTAAAAGATATAAAATCTTTTAGACGTAAAATACTTGTTGGGTGATTTCGTTATACATAGTAAGCCATTGGGTTATGATAGATTTTAGAATAATAATGAAAAATAAATCAGCAACAAACAAATTTTTTATTTTATGTACTTTTATCTTTAGATAAAGATGTATGCTGTGACCTGAGAAATGTTATTGAAGAAATTCCATTGAACAAATCAAATGATTTTTATTTACATCCTAACTATATTCCTGTCAAAAGATGCGTTGGTAGTTGCCAGTTATTTCACAAATGCCTTCCTATATCTTTTACTACAAAATCTGCAAGAGTACATAAAGTTTTGGGTAAACATTAAAGTTTTGAAAACAAATTGATGTCGAAATGCGTCATTGGTCTATATATACTATAATATAATTTATAACTGTATTTTTTGTTTCCTTAGACACTCAAATGGAAGTTTATAAAGTAGATTACATAAATCACGAATCTTGCAACTGTGATTGCGCCATTAAAAAAGAGGATTGCTCATCTCTACAAACCTATGATTCTAAAAACTGCATGTGCAAATGTTCTACAACTTCAAAAATATGTCCTTCAAACAAGCAGGTTTAAATTTATAAATTTTTTAAATATAAAACTTTTTCTTTGTTTAAAAGAGTAAAACGAGGTACTTTGAATAAAATAAGAACAATAATTTAAGCTAAAAGAAACCCACCAAGTTTCAGATATTTATGGACCTAAATGATGCTTAATTTTAGCTAGTCCTTAAATTAACTAAGCTTTGTTATACTTTAGATGTAATAAAATATATTTGCACTCCGTCTCAAGGAAAAAAACAAAACTGAAACTGTTTCCGCCTCGTTCATCTGATAAACCTTGTGCAATTTATTTTAAACTGAGTTTAAAATAATTTTAAACTTTTAATCAATTGAAATAAATTTATAAATAAAAAAGCGGTTAAGTTCAAAGACGACTACAATAGTGGTACACGTAACTACAATTTCAAGCAAGTTTGACAAGAAGTTTAACTATATATTTACATGGTTTTGATTCTAATATTAAAGGTTTTTAAGAGTTATTTTTAGTTTTTCATTAAAAAGATATTCTTTTTCATTAAATACACCTTTTCACAGTTCCGAAATAAAATATATGCGCGCGCAGAAATGGAAGTAAAAACGTAAACAAACATTATTTCAACGGTTTAAGTTATAGTGGTTTATAATGGAAAAAAATGTAAATACTGAACTAATACCATATAGAAGTTTCAAGAGATCGAAAATAACGAGTACAATCTAGAAATGAGGAAAGATGATTTATGAAAATTTGTGAAACTGCCAACTTTTTGATTAAGCATTTGAGTAAGCATTTGTTATCCATTATCAACACATACACACACAGATATATAACAATATAAAAACAACTACAGCTCAAAGAAATATAGAGAAAACTAATTAACCGTTCAACTCCTACATTATTGCGTCATAGTAAATTATTTACCATAAAATATAAAATGAGAGTATGTTCAGACAATATTCCTGACAAAGCACTATCGTTTAAAAATCAATATTTTTTGTTTAACTTAGGCTACAATGCTTAAAAACTTATATTATTTAATGTAAATAATACAAATTTTTCAAACAATGATCCATCAATTTATGTTGAATTTAATGTTAAGCTTTGTTTTATATTAGAGCATCAAGAACTAAAAAAAGAAACTGATAACTTAAAAAAAGAACTTCAGCACAAAATTAAAAAAAATAAAGATTTATTTATATGAAACAAATTTAAATATAAAGATAATCCGAACAAATCGTGTTATTGCAATTAACTTGTATACAAACATTTATTTTAAAAATGATAAATCTTGCTACTTTTATACTGGCCATACATCTGTCAATGCGCTTCATCAGTTAGTGCAGTATCACCATTAATCAAAAGAAGATAAAGTGATATTAAAAAACATCTACTCTCGAGTACCGAATACAACGGCGAGCGAGAAAAAACGGGTGGGTAGGAATTTTAGTCAAAACCTAATAAAGGAGGGGGGGGGGGGGTTAATATACGGGGGGGGGGGGGGGAGAAGGAGAGATTTTTTCTGAAATTTAATGAACAGGGGCATTGAACATGTCCCTGTATATTCAGCATGCAAATTATGCATGTTCAAGTTAAATGCGGTCAAAAGTGCATTTTTTAACAGCTGTTAGGGTAGATTTAATAGGTCGACAATTTGTTTACATTGAAAGTTTTTGTTTTTATCAGTGACTGAAGATTATTTTCAAATTTTTAAGGTCGATTTTTACTGAATTTTTTTTTACATTTGAGATATATAATTTTTTTGTTGATAACAAGTAAAAATTAATAAACGGAGAGATCTTAATAAGCTTAGGGTGGTTGGGAAAAATATCAAAAAATTAATAAACGGGGGGTAGGGTAGGGGGGGGGTGGAGGTGGGTGGGGACGTTTATTAGGAACTCGAGAGTATTGCTGTTTTTTAAAGTTTAAAAAAATCCTTAACTACTTGGACCAAAGTAAATGTTATGCAGCAAAGTTGAATTTTTAATGATGCTAATACTTGGATTACTGACAACTGATCTTGCTGACAGGTTTAATATATCTTTAGGATTAGTAAATGCAATATTTACTTCATGGTTGAAAGCTTCTAGCTCACTTTTAAAGCACATGGTTTTTGTTCCAAATAAAGATGTTGTAAAACAGGCAATGCAAAACAGATTTAAGAAATTAAATTATATAGACTTACACTAAATTTCAGATATAACAGAGTTTATTATGAACACACCTAAAAGTTTTGACTTACAGAAACTAATAAGGAGTGAATACAAAAATTACAACAATATAAAAACATTAGTACCCGTAGCTCAGAGTTCATCAATAATTTCTTTAAATAATTTCTAAACCTTACAGAAGCTAAATTTTGAATTAAAAAACTACAAATCGCAACAAATGTTTAAATTGTACTCTAAAATACTCTTGTATAATGTATGAATAACGATTTAATATTAACACCAATTGTTCTGAACGTTACAACTACCACACAGTTCCCTCTTGTTGGAAAGGTGCAGCTCAAATGAGTTGATAAATGACAAGGAAAAATAAAGAACTAAAAAAAAATTAGAAAGAAATTGCTAATTTAAATTTTAAAGTTACTAGTTTAAAATTACTAGTTACTAATTAAAATTTACTTGAAACAATTTTAGTTATCATTTAAATTTTTTAACTATTTTATAATCTTTAAATGCTATTATCTATTAAATATAAATAACTTAAAAAAAACAACAACAGTATAATCAATACTTTATTTTGCTACATTAATTTTAATGTAGCGAAATAAAATTTAAACATTATATACAAAATCAACGACATCTAAATTATGAGTTACGACATCTAGCTTATGAGTTAAAGACATCTAGCTTATGAGTTAAAACGACATCTAGCAACGACATCTAGCTTATGAGTTAAAACAATGTTAACGATTTAATAAACAAAAGCAATCAATCGCGTATATTATTTTATTTATATTTTAATTTTATTTTTAAATTTATGGCCATAATGTTCAAAGATACTTTGATCAGTGGCGGATTAAGACTTCTTGGGGCCCGGGGCTACTTTTGTTTTTGGAGGTCTTTTTATGGGCCAGAGCCTAAAAATGACTTAAAAAAAAAAAAAGGTCCTCTAAAATTTTTGGGGGCCCCTAAATTTGCGGGGCCCGGGACTATAGTCCCCCTAGCCCTCCCTTGATCCGGCACTGACTTTGATGAGCCTTTTTTGTTAGACCTATGAAAAAACAGCTTAAAATGGCGAAAACAACTGTTGATAGTTAATGCTTCTAAATCAAAAAGGTAGAGCTGTATACAAACATGTAAAAAGTTTAGAAATAGAATACAGTTTGAAAATTCTGAAATTAATACAAATGAAATACCACGAAAAAAAATATTTTGGGAGGTGATTTTAGGCACATGTAGAGATCCATAGCAAGTGATTTTAAAAACTTTTCAAACGTCCGTGAGATATTTTTCACTTTTAGCTTTTTTCCATATTTATAAAGATATTTACGTTTTACAACATGAAGGTAAAATTTAATCAAAACTTTGTTGTTTTATTTTGAAATTGAAAGTGTTTTATCAGTTTTCTTTTTTAAAAAGTAATAAAAATACAAAATCAAAATGCCAAATTCTGCAATCTAGACTGCAAAAGGGCTGTCTGTATTGTTTGCATGAGAAAAGCTGACAGAGAACTTACAGAAAACCTCATGACAAGAATTAAACAAGTTTTACTAAAAGATGTTAATGTTAAAGATGTTAAAAGAATTTACATTGGAATACTGGAAAGAGAACAAATAAAGACTGTTCCTCAGCTTTTCAATTTTGAATCAATTTTGATAAACTCACCAAAAAGACTGACTACAACATGAGGCTGTTTAATCTATCAAATTAGGAAATTGAAAGCCAATGAAAAAGATCCTTTGAGTAGCCCCAAGAGTATAGCAAATAAAACTGATGAAGCGATTGTGAAGCGTTGTGCAAAATGCTTGCCAGTTCTTCCACATCAGTGCACTCCTGGAACTTGCCATGAAAATTTGAGAATGATGGTTAAATCTGATTTTATTGGAGCAAAGCAAGTGGCATCAATAGTTGTGGCAGGCAAGTATTCTTCTCCAAATGGTGCCATTCGACTTAGTAAGCCGAGAGGAAAACCTTTACCACTAAGAAGAAGTAAATTTTAAACTATGTATGTAAAAGTTTTTGTCTAATATTATGGTGCTGCTTAAAAGTTAATCTTTTAAACAGGATCTTCAGCTTGCTTTTTAGCATGCTCCACAACAACTTTTTAAGGAATCCCTGGCAACCCAAAGCATATTGCAAATTCAGCAAAACACAGGTCTTTCCAACAATGGAATTATGGAATAAGAAAGTTAGGATCTGCTTTAAACCTTTTGAGTTCAGTCAGAATTTTGAAACCTAACGTTCAACAAAAATTTGCTCAAGCAAGTCAAAAGCTCATTGACCACTTTACAGTCACAAATATTCAGCTCAGCGATAGCAATACCACAAGTCAAGTTGTTCACTGTCGGGATCACAGCAAACTCATTGAAATGTTTATGTCAGCAAGAAAATAGTCTGACTCTGCTGTTGTGAAACTTAGCATAGATGGAGGAGGAAATTTTCTGAAAGTAAGTTTTACTATCATGATGGTTCAAGATGAAGATGAGCCTCATAGTCCACTTCAGAAAACTGTCCGACTGATGGCACCTTCGTCATCAAAAACTACCAGTTTCATGAAAAAAATGCTGGTAGCAATTTCACAAGATATTTCAGAGACCTATGCCAATGTCAAGTCCATTCCTGATCTCATCGAAGTTCAAGAAAAGTATGCCAATGATTCCCTAGTTGTCTTATGTGATATGAAGCTTGCCAATGTAATGTGTAACATTCAATCTCATTGCAGCAAGCACCCTTGCTGTTGGTGTGACATTGAGTCATCAAATCTCCTTAAATTTGGAAGCCTGAGAACTTTTGGTGGCCTAAGAAGCAAGCAAATAGATTTTGTCAGCTCAGCTGGCGATTTGAGGAAATCAAAAGTCTTCTACAATGTTGTAAAGTTTCCAGACTAAAAGCTTATTTTAGAAGCTATTCCACCAATAGAGCTACATTTGTTGCTAGGTGTTGTGAATCATTTAGTGAAACATCTGATTGATCTTTGACCTGGTAGAAAGGAATGGCCATCAGCATTGCATACTCCACTTCAGCCATACCATGGTGGTTATTGCAACGGCAACCCTTGTATTTTGCTTTTGAAAAGTTAGGACAAGTTACAGCAGCTTGTTGATACTGCTAATTTCAATCAGACTATTCTCTTTATACAAGCATTGTCTCATTCAGCACCCAGCTGGATCCAGACTTAGAGTCAAAAATTATGAAATTCAGAGAAGCTACATATAACTCTCAATTTCCATTACACCAAAAGTACATGCTGTTTTTCATCATGTGTCACAGTTTATCAAAATAAAAAAAAACAGTACTTGGTCTCTTCAGTGAATAAGCAACAGAAGCTCTACAACAAAACTTCAAAACTCACTGGGATAGATACAAAAGAGATGTTAAGAATCCGGAATATTCCCAACAACTTTTGAGATGTATTGTTGATTAAAACAGGAAGAAGATTTAAGAATAACTCCAGAACTGTTTTTGTGTTTACAATTCATTTTTTTTTTTTTTCAAGTCACGTGTGATATGTTAAATAATATTTGTCATATACTTAGAGAGTTTGAAAATAAAATTTTAAGAGTTGTATACCTGTTTTTAATTTATCATAAAAAACTTAACTTGGGTATGTTTTTATTTATTTTTAATAAAAATTCTTTTCTAAGGTCTCAGGACCCATTATTATTTTATAATTTTTTTTGTGGGACAAAGTTTTGATCCTCATTTTGTGGAATAAATAAAACTTACCACAGACGAAAATTAAAAAAAAGGGAAAAAACTAAAAGTGAAAAAAGTCTCACCGACAGTTTGGAAAGACTATAAAATCACTTGCTATGGATGTCTACATGTGTCGAGAATTACCTCCTAAAATATTTCTTTCGGGGTATTTCATTAGTATTACTTTCAGAATTTTCAAACTGTGAGAATCTAATATACGGGAACCGCATCTCTGCATTAAATATATTAACATAAAAGTAGAATACGCATACTTGACACACTGAAATAGATGCTCAGAAGAGTGACATTATCAAGCGCAAGAAAATAATTTTAAAAATTAAGTAAACTTAGATGCATTTGGTAACAAAGATATCTAGATATGGATATACAAAAATTCATGCTCGACATGAAATGCAAAAGAGGGCAGCATTTTCTCCTTCAAAGGTTGCATTAATTAAAAAATCACATAAATCATGATAACTAATTTTGTCCTCGTTCAGTTTTTGTTGAAAATACTCTGATTGAGTAATTGAGAATTGAGAAATAAGAATAACGCTCCGGTCTTTCCCGTATCATAAGAATAACGCTCCGGTCTTTCCCGTATCATAAGAATAACGCTCCGGTCTTTCCCGTAAACCAATTATATTAAATTGATTTAAACAGATGCACTGAATCATGAAGCATTATCTATTTTTGAAATTTTTTCCAGCTAGGTTTCATCTAAGTTTAAAGCAAAACATTAGTATATAGTACGATTTAAAGAAGCAAATCTGAAAGAGGGTCTAAAATTTCTCTACCAAGTTTAGCAACTGATTTAGTCTGTGTGATTTCAACAACAAAATTTTGTACAAATATAATTCAAAACTTATAAGCTGGCACCATACAACATACAAAAGCGGATTTATTAAACATTGGCGTAATATAAAAGCATAGCATTGTATTGGTAGATTTAGCAAGGTTGACGTCACTTTAACCAATTTGATAACACCCATGAAAACGTGTACTTGGTTTTACATACACAGAGGTCGATTCAGCATTTTTTGGTGTTTAAGATTGGTAACTTTCAGATATGGAGCAGACTCCAAGCATAAAACATTTATACTTGTGTCAAATAAGGATGATTTGCTAATAATTGCGATGATTATAGCTTGGGAAAAAATAAACACCAAAAATTTCACTCCCACTCTCCAAACGTGAGATCCACAAGTTAATAAAGTTTTTTTTACTAATTTCAACTAGACTTATATTCATCAAAAAAATTCAATTCATAGTATAATGTCTCAGTGTTCAAAAATTATAACCATATAAAATTTGTAACCCCTTTAAATTGAGTGAACTTCCCTGACTGCGAAGCGGTGGCAAAATAAATTGTAATATGTATGTTATTACTTTTATTATGCCATTTTTGGAATTATGTTAGTTTTTGCAACTGTTTTGCACCTATGCCAATATGCACTTATGCCGGTGCACACTAGAACGGTTACCCACGAAAGCGTGACAAAATTAATTTCCTAATACCTGCACAAAGTTATTATTTTCAAAAAACTCATTTAGTAAAGTATATATGTTCAATATTTCACATAATTTTAAACTGTAGTTTTAGAGAAACCTCTCTTTGAACCATCGAGACGCTCATAAAATTTCCACGGAGAAAGGGTGTGTGGTTCAAATTGGATAATTTTGAATAGTGCATAATACATTCGAAAGGCCGTTTCTTTTCACAAATGTCTATTTTGTTTTTTGGTGATAAAATTTTATCTCACAAGGCTGCTAACCGTCTTAAGCACAATTCTTTATTCCTTAGAAATTTATAAACATTTATATGTTCGTTTTAATAATTTCTACCGCAATATATATATATATATATATATATATATATATATATATATATATATATATATATATATATCATGTATTAATGAGTAATAATATGTCACACACTTTTTATTTACATTAAATGTGGCTTAAATTTAAAGTTGAATACTTAAGAGAACTTTTTTTAAATTACTATTATGCTTTGTTATCCTAAAGTAAAACGCCTAAAAGTTTAAAGTCTTGGGCGAACCTGCGAAAGAGAAGAATGCGTTTGTTAGCTTGCAAATGAAAATGATTCATCTAAATAAATTTTTAAGTTTTTAGTTGCAGGAAAAAAGTTAAGAAATTTTTTATGAGAAAACTTTTCCAGTAATAATAATCTTAAGGCTTCATATATATGTCGTATATGTCGATCTTATTGATTTTTTTGATTTAAAACTTTTTATTTACTGATTCATTTATTTAACTCTATCCATCAAACTCTAAAACCACATTTATCTAATTCTAAAAAAAAGGAAGGCTTTTCAGCTTGAACAAGCATGGTTTCTATAACTTTTACTGTTGGAGATATACAAGATGTAATGTGCTTGATGTTCACTTATTAGTTTTGTAATAAAATTCAACATTTTTGCAAATCGCAATAATTTTTTCAAAGTAATCCATTCATTGTTTTCCAAAGCAATCCATTCATTGTTTTCCAGTGATTTTAGATCAGAGTTAATATCACAACAAAATACGATCATAACTTCTGTTTAAAAGTTCTTTCAAACTAAAAAGACTGATTACTCTACTTTTGTCAATCTTAGATTAGTCAAAAAAAAAGAGGGTCTAAAATGATAGTTTGAAGAACACTAAAGGTATACCTTATTTCTAAAAAATATTATTACAAAAAAGGCATTATTTTGCGGTATTTTGCCATTTTATAACTTAATAAATTACAAGAAACATCAAAATATGGTGATAAAAATTAATGCTTAATTCTTAAAATACGTTAATAAGGCTAAATATTTTAAACTCCCGTAACTATCATTTTAGACATATTTGTTGCGCAGCGACACTTAGTCAAAGATATACTATATAAGCTAGATGTCTAACGCCAATCCGAAAAGTGAAACCGTTTTTTCTCTTTTTACAATTGGCGGACTAAATTTGTAAGCAAATATTATTTAACTTTTCTTTTCTGAAATGAAGTAAATATATTTTAAATATATATACCATTTATGCAAAAGTATTGAGAGGAAATTAGAATACTTGTAATAAAACAATAATTTATGGTTCCTAAATTTATTTTCGATTAGAAAGGGTTAAAGTTTCGAGTAGAAAAGTGAAACAACAGACTTTATTATGTATTTTTATGAAATTATAATACTTTTTAATAAACATAGGCTCATAAAAAAACTTTTATTAGTATTTTATAATTATTAAAACGAGTTTTTGAATTATTTTTAATTTATTGTGAACTTTTGACTTGCACTTTTAACTATTGTTCCACACATCGGCTTCAGTTCTGTCCTTTTTACTAATGGCAGAATATATTTAAAAATAAAAAAAGTGACTTCATTTTTCGTCCAATAAAATCCCCCAAGTTAGTCATCTAGTTTATATTATACATCATTGCACTACGTATAATTACTTGTGTTTACATTTTGTTTCCATCTATAATTGGCTTTTTGTATTTCTATTTAAAGAATGTACTTAAAACGAAATTTAAATGTTTTCTTTTTAGTGGTCAGATATAGAATGTGACTGCGCTTGTAACGAGCAATCTAAGATCTGCGATAACGGAAAAACTTGGAACAAAGAAATTTGTCAGTGTGAATGTTTATTACAATGTTGTCCAATGGAAAAGAAACTTGATAAACAAAATTGTTTATGTGTTACTTAAAAAAATTTTTAATGAATAAATCTATGAAAAAAGCGAAATATATATAAAGTAACTTTTTAAAGTTAACAATAATCTCGTAGGAATAAATAAGAATTAATAAATGAAAAGTTATACTTTAATTAAATATTTAAGTTTTTATTTTGATCATTTGAGATGAAAAAGTATTTTAGCAAAAACATTTAGCTAAACAACGATTTTATTATATACATTTTGCATATATATATATATATATATATATATATATATATATATATATATATATATATATATATATATATATATATATATATATATATATATATATATATATATATATATATATATATATATATATATATATATATATATATATATATATATATATATATATATATATATATATATATATATATATATATATATATACAAGGGCGGATACAACATTTACTGATGTTTGAGCTAAATTTCAGATATCAAACAAACTCTAAATATGTTTATACTTATGTCAAATAAGGAAATTTTGCAAAAAAAAAATTGCAATGATTGGAGCCTGGGGACAAAAAAATCCTAAACTTTGTCCACAACTGTTCCAAACGTGAGAGCAACAAGTCGATAAAGTATTTTTTTATTATTCTAAACTAAGCTTATATTCATCGGTAAATTTTAAATTTTATACCATAACCTTTTAGCGTTTAAAAATTATGGCTTTTAGAAATTTGTAACCCCCTTAAAAAATTCAAACTTTTTATATTTATAGTATTTGAACGCTAAGAATTAGGCAGCCTTAAATGTATGAAATTTAAAATTCATAAATGAATATAAACGTAGTTGCTCTTACGTTTAGGGTAATTTTGGCCAAAGCAAACCCCTTTGATGTTTTTTAAAAATCTTTTCAAAAACATTGAATGACGAGGGGGAGCAATCGCCCTCATTACAACCCCCTCCCTAATTGATCCGCCCTTGCATCTTTTAAACCCCTATCATTGTAATTAAAAACTGTTTTAAAAACAAAAAAGATCGCTCTATCGCCCCCTCTTTCCTATGGATCCGTCCTTGCATATTTATGCACGATGGAGTCCTGTGTAATAAGGCCAAGTCTATAACTTATCATTTAAAGCAAAAAAAAATTGACGTTTTGGATTAGCCTGGAAATTATTTGAATATGAATCCAATAGAAAACGCCTTGGAGCTCAAAAAAAAAAAAAAAAAAAGAAATAGATAAATATTGCAAAGCAAAAATTTGATTGAATATAATGCATTTATGTTTATTTATATAAATAGCATTAACACAAAAATCAATATAGCAGAGACATAACATTTTTTTGTATCGAGTCTAATAATAATAATAATAACAATAATAATAATTATATATATATATATATATATATATATATATATATATATATATATATATATATATATATATATATATATATATATATATATATATATATATATATATATAGCGCAGTGGTTAGCGCAGCCCAGCGTCTCAGAAGTTAGATATCCGTGGTTCAACGCTACCTCTGGGCAAGTTTTATAACATTATTAAGGAAGAATGCGTGAACTTCCTTTCAAATACTATTCCGCGGTGCTATGTGATAAGACCGTAAGAACTTCTTAGGACACCATAAAATTGATAAAATAAAAAAAAAATATATAAAATATAATATAATAAGTAAATAGTTATAAAAAAAGAAGTCAATAGTTTCATTAAAAATGCTGCTATGCAAAATTATTTTTTTTTAATTATATTTTTACATATATGTAAACACTTTATATCAAGTTTTACAAAATCTAAAAACTGTTATCATGCCTTATTGCGTTAAAATATTTTGAAAAAATTAGGTTCATTTTTTTTTTTTTAAATAAAGCTTAGACTTTAGCTTGAATTTTTCACCTAACATTCCAAAATTTGGATGTAAAGTATAAAAAATGCTAATAAAAATCATCTCTTGAGTGATTTGGTAAAAATCAATTTTTTACCTAGATAATCAAATTTTTACTTTACAAAATTTATATTAAAGAATAAATTACAAAAATATAATGTTATATTAGTTCTGAGGTTTTTATTCAAGCCATTCCCAGGTAGATCTAATGTGAAATACAGTCACCATTTTTTACTATCACCAGTTCCAATCTTTTTACGGAAGATATCACATATATATTTTTCTTTTTTCAATATATTTTTCCATTTAATATTGCAATTGTTATACATTTGTAACTAAGTTAAAGGCCAGAGCAAGAAGAAAACATTTTTATTTTATTGCCAAGTACTATGTTACCAATTCATAAATTTTTACAAAGTTTTTACAAAAATTTATACCGTAAAATCGCCTAAGTTTAGTCATCGTGTAATTTTTTCCTTAAAATCAGTGAAGTTTTAAAATACATAAATTCGGTCACTTATGGATTATGCAACAACGCGTCACTAAACGATAAAAACAACAAATGAATCGTTTATTTTAGAAACCCATCAATTACGTCTTTTTCAATTTTCAGAAAACTAAAAAAAACTACTAAACTTTAAAATTAGTGAAGGGGTTGGCTTGGGAAAAAATTTAAATTATTTTTTATTCTGCTGCAAAAACAAATAATGCTTGAGATTAATTTAAAAAAATTTATTTTTTATGCAACACTTTTTAAAATTTTTGTACTTGACGGGTTTCAATAAAATAAAAGTTATTGCCTAAAAAAAGTTTATGACTACAATATAGTTTTTGAGCAGCAGTTGTAGGTTGTAAATAAAAAAGCATTATCTTAATGTTTAAATTTATTAAAAATCAAAGAAAAAGTTTTTTAATGAGGAATATAAATAATGAAATAATCGAAGACAAACAAGGTAACATAAAACATACTATTTTATATACCGCAATGTTTATGCATATAGGCAGGGTGTTACGTGGGAGGGGGGGGGGGTTGCTATTACAACTTTTTCCGACAAGCAAAAAAAAAATCGTCCTCGATTTTAAAAATTTGTCCATTACATATCGTCTTTTGCCAATTAACTGTTGTGGACTTGTTTGCGCCGACTAAGATTTAGTGTTTGAGAGGGTGTGACGCCCCCATGCACCCCCTATCGCCGGCCCTGCATATAGGTCAAGCCTATCTTTTAAGTTTTTATTCTACTCGTTGTCATACACTGAATCTATGTTGCAGGTCACCTGGTTTGTAGGTTTTTGTGAAAAATTTTGTGGTTTTGCCACTGAAGATTTTACTTGGTTAACTTCTTCAGGTCATTATTTTTCTTTTTGTTGATTTCTATTTTTCCAGATTCATATGCAACCACTGTGGGAGGTCCAAAAATGCAGAATATTTTTTAAGTGTAAGGTAAAAATGTAAATAAAGTGCTAAGTAAATAATTTTCCTCGGTCAGTTTTGCTAAAATAAAACTCTTAGTAGTTGGATTCTTTAAAAAGAAATCCTAAAAATTTCATCAGAGTTGGTAGTCTTCTTATAAAATTGTGGCCACCAAATTTTAAAAGCGTAAATCATGTCGTTCGTTTCTTGGTGAACAGTAAACCGCTCTGACTTACTTGGTTTAAAAATCTGATTCAGCATACTGATTTAATGTGTAAACTCGGTCAACTCTTCAAACAACGCGTTTAACGCAGCCAAAATCTCGATCACATTGTAAAAATGAGTGACCCCTGACTGGGACGTAGTTGATGGACAATTTTGAATATTCCTCTATCATAAAGATTTATTAAGAATCTCACCATACAATGACTTTTGTTTTGCTCTGAAGGGCAGGGCTGGTTTAACCACTAGGCAAACTAGGTAGCCGCCTAGGACACAAGTTTTCTAGGAGATTAAAAGCTAGCTACATAAAAAAGCTACTTACTTAAAAAGTAAATATATTATAAACATTCCCAAAATCTTTTTCAAACTCTTTTGAATTAAATTTTGGAGATTTAAAAAAGTACTTTTTTAATTCAAATAAAACAAAAGAATTAACTTTTGTTACTTATTTTTTATTATTTCAATTCCTGATAACTTAAACCTTCAAAGGACCAAAGGAAATAGTTCGACTTAACGAATGCTCAACTAAAGCGAATTCCCGTTTAGTCAAACTTTGGCTGATATGAGATATTAGTTCGAGTTAAGGCAATTTTATGATTCAATGTAAACTTAATGTAACTATGGAAGTATAAAACAGATGGAATTTTATCAAGCCGCAAACATCAGAGCAATTTCGCGTCGTCTCGAGTATACTTGTACTGACAAAAAAAAAAGAGTTTCACTGGACAAAAAACAACAAACATTCACTGAAATTATTTTTATTAAAAACATTAAAAAAAGAATTATTTCAAGAATAAACTACATAGTTTTAACCATTAGTTATTCTAATTATGAAAAAAAGTTTACTTAAACTCGATAATTAAACAAAATCACTTTATTTTAAAAGTATATGTTAGTTAAAACTTCTTTTCTTGCTTCGAATCATAACACGACATTACATTTAAAAGACAACTGAAACAATTTAAAAAAAAAAAATAAAAAAATTATTTTTTAAGTTACTAAAGCATAAAATTTCATTAGCTGTCATATTCATACTTGTAATACTTCATTCATTTGACATGAAGTTTAAGAAAAAGTTGAAATTTGTCCTTTCGCTATCGTCATTTTAATGTTTATACTTGAATATTATGGCCAGGACGGTTCGCCAAAATACCATATTTTGACGGTTCGCCAAAAATATGGTATTTTGGCGAACCGTCAAAATACCATATTTTTAAATTTTTATGAACGTACCTATTTGCATCAACGTATGAAGATTAGGCGTTTAAGTACAGCCTTGATGTGGTTTTCTTTTGTTTACGAAACAAAAGGTTACAAGCTCGGTCCAGTGCCGTTGAACTTCCATTTGTTTTATACTTTCATGATGTAATGTAATGCAATGCACTGATCTCAAAATATAACTGGATAGCGGATTCTATTGTTTTTTCCAAAAAAGGTTGAAGCCAAAATTGGGCTCCCAAGATGGCGGTGATTTTATTTCCTAGCGGTTGAACTGATAAACATTCGATATGGCTTTACCGAAAAAAAATAATTAAAGAA